TTTGACAACGGAAATTTAAAGAATCTATTACATTATAGGTATATACCATAATAATTATATTAATGCCCAACCTGGAATTAGCCATAATACTATTTATTATTCTCTTATAAATATTATAAATAAACGAATTATAATTATACTATTCTGAGAGAGCTATTTTACGCTTCGGTAAGCATCGAGACGCCTCCTTTATTGTTGCCAATTATAGTCATCAACTTATTACTTGACCAAATCATTCATCGAATAAATATATAAAATTATACAACCATATTTTGTAAAAATGACCAACGATTGACATCAGAAAGTTCATATTCATATTAAATTTAATATCATGTTTTGATAATCACTCATACAAAAATTTTTCAAAACTTAGGTTTAAAAATAAACCATTTAAAACATAAATATACATTAATTATTAGCTATTGTAGATATTTAAATATTTAAATACGTAGTATCGTATACCAGCATATTATTTTTTAATTAATATTTAGTGAGGTTACTAACTATGTATTTTATGTAAAAAAACTTATACATTGAGATTGACACATTTAAGTGGAAAATTCTTAAGCTCTATACGGTATATTATAGACTACAATAAATAATAATGAGAAGTAAATACGCCTAACTTATTTATGCCGTTTTCACATATTCTGAACATTCGATGAATAATATTATACCAGCTAGCAGCCATAATACATACCTACTTTTAACATTATTATACATTTATATCTACACATTTAGTATTGGTCAGAAGTAATATTGTCAATGTCGTTGTTACTTGTTAATTATACATCATGAACACTATAATCTAAACATCTAACCTCTATGTTTATTGATAACATATATATCTGTACGTGCAAGAAGAATATGATTACGATATATTAAAAACATTGATCATAACTTTTTATTATTTGAAAGGTCAATTATAGGTATCCAAAATAAAGCCATGACTCTATTATAGTCTATTGACTTCTTCTATATTATACTCTATTTCGATTTACCAAATCTTTGGCATTCGTGTAGCAGGTGATATACTACGGGAAGGTCATCTCATACCAATTTATTATAAGTGATCCGCCACATTTGAATGCATAAAATGTATCATTCATTATAACTTATTTTGTATTAATCATGAACGGTTATACAAAGAAGTCAGATAGTCAAATAAAAATGCACAAAAAAATATACAATTAGGTACTATAATAAGGTATACAATTCGAGTTCAATAAACATATTGCACATCAAAATTAAAAATTGGATAGATATATTTGTTATTATATTAGTATATAAACATACAAACTAGTCTCCACCATGCTACGATAAGATATTGATGTAGTAGGTATCATCATGTATAGGTACTTCACAATAAAAGTAACGAGAAATGTTTATAAGTCTTGATAAATCACAAACTACTCTTATAGTTGAAAAGTACATCACTGGCTACACGAATGACAATTTTTTTTTAAATTTAGGCATAATCTATATCTTGTCACTTTAATTTATGTATTTATAATATTACAGATAGTGTCATAGCTGCAAGTTTGTAAGTTTCAGCACTGATTTCAACCAAAATATTTTCAATATAACTACTATTTTTTTTAAATTTCTTATAAAGTATAATATATTTAAAAAAAAGTATTTTACACTTGTTCAAATGTAACTGCCGCATGTTATTAAAATTGCAATATTTAGGAGTTAATGTCACGCGTACCTAACTTAAATAGTATATAGAAAAAATATTTTTTAACGGTCTATTGTTACGAATTTATGATATTATATCAGAATATTACCTGTAGTATAGTACGAGTATTTTTTTCGTACATAAAACCTACTTGAAAATCAAAAAAATATGTACTTGGTGTAATTTATACAAGCATGCGTGTACACCTTCTGCAATATCATAATCTGGTATACATAACCAGCTGTCAGCGTGTAAATTCTTTGTAACTGTAAAGGTAGGAACCTACCTTCCTACCTACCTATCTCTTTAGTATAATATCATAGAGTTTACCTTCGACTGAGTGAAAGTAAAATAAAAAAAACATATATATAATAACAAGGAACAATAATAATATAATGGTTAACACACTTGACACTATAGTGTTATATAATCCAGTGAACTCTTAACGTTATAGTTTTATCAGTGTTGATTTTTTAAACAGTCATGTGAGATCCGCTCTTTAAGAACATCGAACTTCATAAACATATTTATTATTATTATAAAACCATAACATGCATACTAAACATTATGGCAGAACCATTTTCACCATATCCATCACAGCGTATTTGGTTTTAGACCATGTGGGTATAATTAAAGCAGCGTCTGAAGGTAAACGCCAAAACAAGTCCATTGATTTTTTGTTTTTCTATTCTTGTGTCGATTGAATTTTCATTTTTTTTTCGATTAAACGTGTTAAATAGTTTCTAATTATGATTTTTGGCCGTCAAATATATTGGGTAAACGTGCGATGCAATTGGTCAGAGACCATTTGTCTAGAAGACAAGAGAGGAAAAAGTCGAGATCTTCAAAACAAATTTGTTACGGTAAGATGAACTTGAACATTGTAAATACTATTTTAATATCTGGTTTTCCTAACCCCATACGATGTACTATACACTATATATCTACTCGCATATATTTCGAAATTTGTATGTTTAATATATATTATCTACCTTAACTGCGACTGACATAAATTGTAATAATACACCAACTTACGTCTGACATCGTAACACAAGGACCGACGATCATTTTTTACTAAAACGACAAAAATTTAAGACTTGAACAACGGCATCCGCGAAAAAGAAACTGCCGCGAAACACGAGCATACGTATGGCGTATATATAACCATAAGCGTGCACTGCACGTTAACTTTTGTGACGACTTTACGAGAAAAAGCACTATTAACTCGCCGCCTTAAAATAACTGCAACATCGCCGAATTATTATTCATCTCGTACGAACGACTGACGATACGTGCAACGCATATATTACGAACGTCGCACTCTGTATACATCACATATTATAAGACTCACCGATGGGATTTTTATTTTTGTTGTTTTTTTATTTTCCACAACGATACGTCAACAACAACAACTCTGCAGACATGGTCGGATGCTTCCCTATACCCCGGACCAATTATTCGCCGCTCATGAAATCGCCTCAATCGCCGGACACGGTGGACACGAAATTCTTAGTGATGACCCGTCAGAATCGCAGCGATCTGATTTTGGTCACGTACGGCGACCGGCACGTTTCGATGAACAACTCCAACTTCAGGCCCGAACTGCCGACCAAGATCATCATCCACGGGTTCAAAGGCAGCGGACACGACAAGGTGGCAAAACTCCTAGGCAACGCGCTGCTGGACCTGGTTAGTCTGTACTACTATATCTACCATGGTCATAGGCGTGCGCACGGGGGGCACCTGGTGTACCTGTAGCAACTGCACAAGTACAAATAACAAATAAACATTGCAATCATCTTAGAAATATATATTAGATATTTATATCCAAGGAAATATGTAACTTGGTACTAGTAATTATATTATATACCACTAGTTAATATGTACATGTTTTGTTAAGAGAGGATCCAAAAATATTGTAGGCACCCCCGAAATTACCAGGACTATGACCGAGGTACCTTTATATATACCTAGGTACTTGACTTGGTAATAGTTCCGTGATTTCTTCATAACAATTAAAACAATATCTATTTGTCATCTAAACCGGTTGCACTGGTACGCAGGAAGACGCTAATGTGATTTTCGTGGACTGGGAAAAGGGAGCCGCCGGGCCGGGTTACGCACTTGCAGCCGCCAACACGCAGTTGATCGGACGTCAGCTGGCCATATTGATCACAGACATGGTGGCGCTGAAGGGTGACCCGGCCAGGATTCACATGATCGGATTCAGCCTCGGAGCCCACGTGGCGGGTTTCGCGGGCAAGGCGTTGAAACTGATCGACATAAGAGTGGGCAGAATTACAGGTGATGGGTCTCGAGTACACTTATATAGTTGGTAATATATTGAGATTTTCGAGGAATAAATCGGAGTGTATCGATACGTATGGGCACAGAATAGATTACACTTTTATTTTAAATTTAATCTTTTCTATAATGGTATGGGTTTAATTATGATATCTAGCAATCGAGAAATTACACGACGAGCGATATACACCGGCGAAACGTACACCGACCGGTATCGGACTGAGATGAGCCGGTGCGTCATAACTCTAATGTGTGTCGATACGTTTCGAATTTTTCTTGTTGAAAATCTTGCATATAATATAATATCAGCTCGGGGTCGATTCGGTGTGTGTTAATTTTACTTAAACGACGATGAGCAATATTTCGTCATCTGGTGCAGGTCTGGATCCCGCGTCCCCGCTGTTCAGACAAATGTTGTCGGCCTCGCTACTGTCACTGAGTTCAGACGACGCAGAGTTCGTCGACGTAGTGCACACGGATGGCGCCAGGATATGGTCCGAGGGGTTCGGCCTGTTCAACCCGATCGGTGACGTCGACTACTTCCCGAACGGCGGTCTCGACCAGCCTGGTTGTGAACAAGTCCGCGGTTCGGTAATCGTAAGCCGGTTCGGTAAGTCATATAAGACATAATACACTATATAGGTCACATATTATGTGTACATGTAAATATAGATCGAATAACGGGATTCCGGTTCACGTGCGAATAAGCGTAATGCATTATAAGCGAGCCCGTTTTTTATGCGAATGTCTACATAGATGCAGTTTTTCAAAAACATTTTGTAATCCAAACCGGATTATTATTTATTTGCCTATGAATATTTTGACTTTTATTTATTCATACGTATGAAATAGGTACTATTTATTAAATATTGTTGAAACAATGGTTTTTGCCTGTATAAGCATTTTAAATTGTTTGATAAGAAGAGTAAAGTGACAAAGGACGTCGAGGATATCCTGCAAAATGGTTTACAGTATAAATGTTATGTTAATGTATACATAATATATATATTATATAGAGGGAACGATGAACTCAAGCGTGGTATGTAATCATCTCCGGGCATTACAGTTCTTCTTGGAAAGTCTCAAAGCTGTGTCAGATCCTGATGCATGTCAGTTTACCACATTTCCGTGTCCTGCCGGATGGTCAATGTTTCAAAGAGGAGAGTGCTTCCCCACAAACTGCACAGGTACCTAACCTATTATAAATTATAATATATATTATATGACCCGTCACCACAAATATAATATGATATGTATTATTGCATTATATCTTCAGAACTCCTACATTTATTCGGATACCTGACAGATATTATAATATAAATTATATCATTATTACTCGTTGGCCATTTTGAAAATATTTCATCTTTTTACAAAAAAAAGCCTAGGTCCTTTGCCATGAAATATTGGCAGCACAATAAATTATGCACAGGTCTTCGCTTTCACGAAATCGAGATTTGTATTTACACTATTAACTGTTATACTGATAGGTACTATATATTATTATGTTACTCACGCGTGAATTCGATTTCCTTTTCGCAGTTCGGCGTACTCGACACTGCGTTTTATTTTGCATTGTTTTAATTTATTTAGTATGTGTCAAAGGAAATATTGATTTAAGTATACCAGTATACGTAGGTATAACTATATATTAACTGACAAATACAAAATACAAAATATTAAAAAAAAGGTGATATAAATGTAATATATTAATACACAAATAACGAAAAGTAGCATATTATACGATTGTTTGGGTTATTATTAATTATAATTGTTTCATTAAAATGTTCAACTACTTTTTCGTAGATTCTAATTGTGTAACCATGGGTTTTGCGGCATCTCAATCAAAACTCCGCGGTCCACTGTATTTGACAACTAGAGATTCAAGTCCATTTTGTGGTAAGTGATGTTGTTCATTGATTTGGTATTGATAATAAATTGTTGATGTTATATATATATTTATTTTATTTTAGGGCGTCAGCTCAAGGCATCCGTTTTACTATCTCCCAAAACATCTAAACTTCGAGGTTACTTGCAAATATCGTTAGAAGATGGCGACAATACTGCAAATTTTAAGCTCCGAACAAAGTAATTATTATTGAAATATTTACTTTTGGTGTCAGAATGACGATTTGTGTAGAGAAATTAACCAAAGGAGTGGTTTTTCATACCAGCGCCTTGTTTATATTCGCCAAAATTAAATTCATAATTTTCCAGGCATACGGATTATATTTCGGGTGGACTTCTAGCTGAAGGACTTTCAGTAGCTAAATTTGAAAAATCAGTGCAAAAACATTTAAATGTCGAATTGAGTTTCCAATCATTAGCTTATCAAACTGAAAACGAAAAGCATGGGCTCAACAGTATTGTCAATGTGGTCGTAGACAAGGTATCCATTTTTGACACCGAAGGAAACGTGTAAGTACTCATGTAAATCATTTCTATAAGTGCTAAAAACGATAGTTGTTTGTCGTTCTCTCTGTTCTCGTTCATATGTTACGTACATAAGCAAATATTTTTTTTTTCAGATGGTCTAATTGCACAGAGAATTCAAATTTAATCCACGTGGACGGAACAACGATATACGCCCAAACTTATTCTCTTTCATTATTTGCTGCTTGTTAGACGAGATGACTGAGAACGGTCAATTTTTAAATTTTTTTTTTATTTATTGAATATATCTACTTAACGAACGACTGAAATATTGTTACATATATAATATTATAATACTAAACAATGTATAATGTAATGGTTATGAACTAATTTTAATTTAAAAACGAAATGATTTTATATACTACTATATACACGTTTATTACACTGGCATTTGTTGTCTTATTAAAAGCTTTCGATTTTTATTGTGCGGACTGCAAAACGAAATTATCCAGTAAGCAGTAAAACCACTGCCAGTGGAAAGTATAATATGCAGGTAAGAGGTAAGTATTTGACGATACTGAGAGGATAGAAATATAAAATGTAATAATTATGTATAAATATTAAAAATATCTTAGTCGTATAGATTATACGACCCACGTGGGAAAATCGTGGATATTGGCTTCGCTGTACATTATTATATATACATCCATTGTATTTTTGTATACATATTTTATTATATTTGGAGTACACTGCGACTGATGACTGGTATTTTTCATTTTATTATATTCTCGCCCCCTCGGCACTAACCCACGGAGGGTGCAAAGCGGTTTTGTACGGTTATCGATCGACCCATCCGGCGTGCGCCAGCGCTTTTCACTCCAGATTAGTCAGTATGCCACGATAACCATAATTATTGTGTTCTCGGCGCTGTAAACACAACACGCGTGTTTTTATCAGGGTTTGTCGAAGGATATTTTCGCACGATAAATATTATAGGTACCTACGTCGTAGCGTATACATATATACGTCACACGCATTACGTGAAAGTGATAACATATTCACCGATAGAAGCGCACTTCTTGCGAAAGGGACATGTCGTGTATCGTGTTCGGAAGACCGGGTGCTCCGGGTGCCTGAATCCCTCGGTGGCATTATGGCAAAATGGTAACGACCAGAGTAGCATCAACGAACAAACGATCGTCTGCTGCAATGCTCTGTTGCGCCCGAAAGAAGGTAAGAACGAAAACCATTATACCGAGAACAATTATAAACTTAATTTATTAGTATATTACACCTATACATATATCGTGTAGATCGATACAAACTTACGCGGACTTTTGAACTTACTAAATCGTAAATCAGTATTCATTAGGTAATCATTACCTACATACATATATTATTGCTATTATAAGCTTTTTCCCTCCCTCTCTCAGTCTCTCACACCCTTTCTTCTTTCCTTGTTGTACGAACATTTATATTTTCTTATTAAATAATATAAATAAATATTATTACATTAAAAAAAAATGTAAGATACAAATATCTCAAGTGCCAAACATTAAAATGTTCCGTTTGGTAATTATTACCATCTATAAATACGTTTTGTACAGTATTTTATATTACACTTGATGGATTTTGGGCGATGTATGTTCATATATTTTTCTTTAATATTTAAACATTTTAAAATCATTACTTTAAATATTAAAGTTTTTTAAAATTAATTTAAGGGACCTTTCACTGTATCAGTTAAAAATAACTTATAATTTCTAACACAAACAATTTTTTTTTAAATTTCTTATAGTTTTAGTTTTTGTATAACACACAATTTGTTTTTGGTTATTATTTGGTGATTGGTACATTATTAAATAATGTAATATTCGTCCTAATGCAAGAAATCATTTCCTCAAATATTATATATGAATACGAATATGTTTAAGGAATGTTTATTGTATAAAAAATATATCACTACAATATAAACTATAAAGACAATATAGGAATTATGAATAAGATAAATAGTTTAAACATTCCCAAATTAAATGTTTAATAATTACCTTTAAATTTAGTTTTTACAATAAAAACAAGCCATTTAAATATTTAAATTAATAGTTATTAAAAAGTATTTACTTACATTGGATGAAATATGTTAACGCGTATACGATGATTGTGGTAATGTTGTAACATAAAAATATCTTAAAAATAGAAGAATACTTTACTGAATTTACAAAATCATAGTACACCACCGATACAATTTATAAGTAGACAGGTAACTCATATGTCATAAACTCATAACTAATCATAATGATGTACTTTCATATTGTTGTTATATCTAGTACTTGTAGTTTTATATGTTGAATACGGACAAATTTCAACACGATAATGTTTGTGTTTACAAAACTTACATAAAGCATGTCAAACTGTGTTCGTATCAGTTACAATTTCTGTAACCTTCTAAATCACTAAGTACATCGTATTGTTTATTAGGGTTATCTTATACGTTTATCACCAAGATGAAATAATTTTATAGTAGCCTGATATTATTGCAACAATTTTGAATTATATCGACGTAGACACGTATAGTATATTATATTATATGACATTGCCAAGTGTCATCCTACTTAGATTATTTATTTTTACACATGAGCCAACAGTTGTGTTCCGTTGGAATTAAGTACTTATATAGGTAGGTAATGCCTTAATAGCATAATAATATATATTATATACCTATCGTTTTAATAAGACTTAACTATATTATTATTCAGGGTACATAATTTAACTTCTTTAATTTTTTTTTTACTATTATAATATAAAATACTTAGATGTTTTAGTTATAGCCTATAGGTACACATAAACATTAAAATATATAATTCCGTGATACAAATAAAAGTTAATATTAAAAATAAAACTTAAATAACATTTCATGTTGAATAATAATACAATATTATTCATCATACATTATGATTAATAATAATCATAGATCATATTAGGTATTAGAAATAGTCAGTAAAAAAGTTGTCGACAAATTAAATTAATATTATTATATGATAGGTACCTAATAAAAGTTTATTATATTAGATGCATCAGTCATTACCCATTAAATATATGCGTTTGTAAAATAATATTATGTTATAATTTAAAATCATAATAATATATGTATAATATTTGTAGCGTATAGCAATGGGATCGACGGGGCAGCCCCACATTGTATGATCATTTAAAAATCGTTTTGATATATTGTGAACGCATAACGTAAGACGTAACTATGTATTAAAATCGTAATTTGTATGAAGATTTTTGTAAAAGTACTACCTATTTATCCACAACATCAGCATATCAAACTTATGAAGGATTCAGTTAAGCTTAGGTGCCTCTCTGCTACACTGTGTGATATACATGAGTACGTATAATTAATAATAACTAATAACTAATAGGAAGAATTCATGAACATATTTATTTACCAGAGTTAATAGTCAATAGTATATTTGAATTAAAACGTAAATGGATTTCCTGATTAACTGATATATCTGTTTGAAATTAATAAATTTCCATCAGAAATAAGGGCTTATTTACGCGCGTAGGACCGTAGGTACTCGGATGCGAAAAAGGTATTAACTCCCCGAAGTTTTAAATTATAAACATGTCCCGTCCCTTTTTCCATTAAGAACAATTTTTAGTTCTTCAATTCATTTTAGTTTGATTAGGTACAACTCATTTTTTATATGTACATAATATACATGGTAGATAATGTTAATTTCATAACGTGCTGTAAATATGAGAAATGAGACTAATCGCAGCATTCTACGTATATATAGGTACCTATAGGAAATGTTATATTATTTATTAGTTATTTGACCATTTTACAACATATATATTTACTGTTATATTCCGACTACCGTGAGGATATAAATTAGTCTGTTTGGATTAAAATGTAATTATAATTTATATTATTATAAACGAGTTATAACTGACCTAAATGCTCGCTGCAGTTGACATTATAACAATATAATAATGACAGTTTCATAATCTGTCTACGTGAAGTTAATTTTCGGTGAACATTAACATAACATATACGTCGTTATAATAATATTTTGAATTTAGTTTTGTAGTTGGTATATGGTTGTTTATTGTGTTTTAAAACATACATAAAGGACTATTAAATATTAATAACGTTTGGTTCGTAAGTAATGGCGTGGCCAGAGAGGGGATGGCTGAGGGAGTTACAACCCTTCCAGAAATTTTAGAAAAATATGATATTATTTCAGTGGACGTACTAATTACGTAACCATGTATTAAAATTGTAATCTGTATGAAGGCCACTGCAAAAGTCTAATTTTCGTTTAATAACATTTATGAAGACATAAAAATAATTGCTGAAGTTCAGTGAAATGTTGAAACAAAACCACACGTCCATACATTTGTAGCGTCCGAAAAAATCATAACGATTTACCTTTTAAATATACTGAAGTGTTCAAGTATACATGTGTACAGTTTATATATTATCATATTTAAATCATTTAGTTTGTTCATGAAAATAACATTTTATACTTATTGAAATTTAAGATAAAAAATGATTGGAAGAATTTTCTTATTGCGAAAGGCTAGAAGGTCAAAATTATTTCCAAAATTTCTTGAAATTGTATTGAAAATTGTCGTTTAAAAATATTTAATATTAATGGTACATTATTCACATTATACATTATTATTTTTTGAACAGATTTTTTTCTATGTAATAGGGAAATGTTGACAATTTACCAATGCAATCGGTAATTCATAATTCCTTCCATTATTTATTTTAAAATTAACAGTAAGGATAATATGATATAGCTAATTAATAAAACAGTTTAGTATAACCATATAGGTAATTAAAAATTTGTTTTAAGTTTTTGTCTTGGTACATGGACAAAATCGATGGTTTTAATGTACTTAGGTATCTATCTATAATGGATTAAAAATTAAAATACATAATTTAATAAATTTTTAAAACGGAAGAAAATGATTGAATAGTAATTGACTAATAAAGTAATAAATATACTTAATAGACAATAGACATTATAATATTCTTAAGTACTATTAATTGACTGCAGTATCGTGTGTAAACAGTATACATCAACAGTCAGGCACGTGCATTTACAATAAACAGCGGGTAGTATACTAGCTGTAGTATAATGTAGGTACTTTAATTGACCTCGCACTCTGCCACCACATCCTCAAAACATAATTTTTGAAAATATCAAATGACCCGAGAATATGAACATACATGACATACATGATATACCATCTGCAGCCGTAATATCCGTCCTTACAGGGGACACCTAAATCCAGAAAACATATTAAATAATATTATTATGCTGTCGAATAAGGAAACTATCGTATCTGACGAGCTGCATTGACGCTATAGAGGTGTTTGGTGTTTTGAATCCCTCCGGGACGGCTGCTGACATAATTTGAGTATATTATATGACGTGCATCACGAAAAGGCAAAACCGCACGATTTATAAATGTGTACGATATATCATAATCATTGCATACACAGATACCGTACGTACTGTCGGACTGACGATACCCTCCAAACACTACAGATATAAGTTGTTTTTACATGTAATATTATATATAGGTTAAAGCAGGTATCGTTTACCATAGTAGCGGCAAGTCCACACCGCACACACAAATAATATGTATATCGTATGTTTGTATATTATTATATACCGGATGATTCATTTAATCATTTTTTCAAAAGCCGTCACTTTTTTAAAAAATTCATTTTTCTACATAATTTTAAGTCGTTAAAAACTTTAAAAGGAATTTTTTCTGAAAATGTTGTTTTATAACGACTAAAACTTGTGTAAAAGAATTATTCTCAAAAACTTTAATGTTTTATGAAATAAAGAGTGTCTTAGGTTAAGTGGATCACCCCGTATTATATATATATATATATATATATATATATGTATATGTATATATAATATCACGTCTCTGATTTCACAACCCCGTATGCGACTTTCTAGTTTATACACACCACCACTACATTAGGTATATATAATGTTATGTGACCTAACCTCGTCCCAGACATATTATTTCAGTTGTATTTAATTATTTTGAACCACATTGGCAACTAATCACCCTTGTTCGGCTACTTATAAATATTTACGCATACGTACTGTCGCATTATATGGTCCAATATAACATATAATATATGTTACTATTGTTACGTAATGCGCATTACGTTTTGTATTATATAAATCTAACATTGTTTTTGTACACCTACCACTATTGTATATACCTATGTGGATTCGTTTGCGGTAATTAGAGATTTAATATTATTACAATTATTCGCTTGTTTGAGGCGTTTAAGCTATGTGTTGCAGTCTATGACGTCAGCTAATGCCGATTTGGTTAACCATATAATATATATGGCCGAATAATCGATGTTACTATGCGTTTGTCAAGGTTTTATATTTTCTTCTTAAATATTCGCTTCCGGTCTTTGATTTAAAAAGAATACGGTCTGTTGGTTATATGCATCTGCCAAAATGTGCATGTATTGTACTTTTGTTCAACGCAAATGTACATTGAATAATGAATCATATATATGTACTGTAGTCGTTATTATGTAGTATTATTAATGAATACTTGATATACAAAGAAATATTGTAACTGTAACGTAATTTTCAAACGCGCGATGCGCCGACGTCGCGGTCGTTATGGTGAAAAAACGTTTCTTATTTTTTCGCGGGGAAACATTAAAGGTCAGAGTGAAAAAAAAAGCCGAAAATGGCAACTACCAGCAGATTCTCTCTAAGGTTTTACGTTATTTATGTATATATCATCTACATTGCGTCTCGGACGGGTGGACGGAATTATACACTCGGGCCGTTCTCGTAAGCGGGATACCCGCCGACCGGCGATATGGTTTTAAAACAAAATCGATAATAAAAAAACACGCATTTTCATATACATTTCAACTCTGCCGGACTCTGTAAACTGTTTTCACCTGTGTGCACATCAGAACAAAAATGGTGTACGAAAAGTTTTTCAAAAATTAAGCCCATAAATGCATATTATATAACATTATCATATTATATACAATTATATCTCAGTATCTCACACTGCATATATGGTCTTTTATATAAATATACAATGTAATATATTATATCAGCAAGCAATATAATGTCACTATGTTTGCCCAGCCGGTGACACGAATCTTCGCCAGTTTTCGCACTTATATGTATATATGAAATACAGCCATCATATAGTATAGCCATATAGGATTATAAATTATATATATATATATATTATTATAATGTTTATGTGAATAATTTTCTCTTAGCCATATCGATTTGTCCGTCGCCTTCAAAAATGATATACCCTGCCACATGTGTGTGCAAGTATAATATGCTCGGATATTGCTTGTAGATAGAATAGCGTTGCGCATAAAACGATATTTGTTGATATAAGAAAGGGGATTGGCAACGATTTCGGCGAGGAAGAGAGAAAAAATAGTCCTTTTATTGCGTCGGCCAAGAAATATTTATTTTGTATGTCTCCACCAAACACTATAATATTATAGATATATAATACGGGGTCTTCACCAGGCACGATAAACCCCATTTTATCTTTAATAATGATTTTTTTTCAAATTCTGATTTTAGATATGTTTAAGTTTACTTATCTACTTAAAGATCATATTTTCAAATACTTAGACTTTTGACATCATTTAAGGG